AATGTACATTTGCTAAATGCGATAGCATGAACGCTCTTCGAAAACATATGTTCGAAAGTGCTAAATGTTGCATTTTAAATGCAGCAAAAACGCTGCATTAAGTGTGTTTTCACTTCGCTCGAAAATTAGCAAACGGCAGCACTGGAACTGTATAGCAAGCTTACTTGCTGTCTCCACAGGCAAAAGTTTTTATCTTGATATTAGCTCTGATCCAGTACTCCATGAACTTACAGGATTTTACACGAACTTGCAGGAAGTTGCAGGAAAAATCTTCTCGTACTCCAAAATCCTCCAAAATCCTGTAAATGAGAGCAACTTTTGGAGAGTTGTGTAGAGAATGAAGTTGCAAGATTTTACCCGAACTTTTTCTTCTGGTAAAATCTGAAAAGTGTCAAGCAATCACTGGTTGTCGTTTTTGCTGGAAAAATGTTTTTTTGTTCCCGTACTTTTCGTTGTTACTCACTTTTTACTCTCACTTCAGAGAGTAATATTGCTGTTTGACAGTTTTACAAGATTTTTCATGAAAAGTATTGGATCAGAGCTAATGTTATCAGGCAAAATTTTGCCCATGGAGACCGCATATTGCTCTTGGCAAGCAATAATTATCAGAGCTTTTGTCTTAATAAATATTGCCAGCAATTTGGTACTTTGACAGCTACATTTTCATTTGCGCGATAGCTTCGTGGGGACAACATTATCGATATTTCAATAGCCGTGTTTTATTTGTCCAGAAATTTAAGCTATTAGCTTATTTTGTATGGAGGACTTATCCAACATAATTATATTGCCTTATGAAAAGCTATTTTGGCTTGTATATTGAACAAGAGACATTGCCATTCAGCATCAGACATTTTCTCCTTCAGCCAATCAGAAAGAGGCAAAAACTTAGTTTGACACTATTTGCCGTCAAACAGCTGTCAAGATTAGGCTAACATAGGAAATAAGCGAATTTCGTTTTATTTGACCAAGACTTAGCTATTTGCTTGTGATGGTTGAATAAAACATGTCTAATATAAAAGCAATTTGAGAAAAAAGTTTGCGAAAGCGGGTTCGTCAGCTGGGCGTTTGTTTACATCACAAGCACCACACTACATTTTACACTTTTATTCAAGTAAAGAAGAGTTAATTCAACATGACAACACATTTTAAAGCATTTTGTTGCATCATTTTACCTAAATTGTGCGTTTAAAGTGGCTGACAATAATTTTGGCTAATTTTGGTTTTCGTTGTTTTCTTTGCTTTGTTTACTTTTCGCTCGTTTTCCAGTGAAAGAAGATGGCGTAGAACCCGCTAAAATATCGACTTTTTTCACTCTCTTGTTCTTACGTGATCTTGTGTCTTTCGTTCATGATTTTACAGGCAACAAAAGTTGAATGCGAAGTTGATTGAGAAGTTAAAAGTGAAAAAGTTGCCATCCCTATTCAACACGAATTGTTATTTACATTATTGAAAATGAATTTAAATCGCAAAATTGTATCAATTGGCGTAAACTTGGTAAACCAAGCGTTGGTAGAAGAGCTTTTAGCGAAGCTGAAAGATAAAATAAAAGTAAAAAAGTAAAAAAGAAAAAAGTATGTATACAGTATGTAAACAAACACAGGGTTGCAAGGAAAAAAAGTTGAACGAGCTCAAAGTTGGATGATGATGATGATGATGATCGCCGCGTGGAAAAGTCCTATAACTTTGTTGAAAGCGATTAGTTGAAAGGCCGTTCGGAAGAGGCGATTTTTGCTTTCAACTAAAAGTTGCCTGAAAAATCGCCACATGCGAAAGCCCTATACTGGCTTCACTGCTTCACGTTCTTCGCAGAAAGGAAAAGCTGGCAACACTTCGTTCGACCTCTCTAGCGAACTCGTTCCGGGAATGACGTAGCAACGAGACGGAATGTGTGAGAGACGTCAATTTGATCTGGAACTTTCTAGAATACATGAAACATTCTTTCTATAAATAGGGGTCTCGTCTGCCGAGCGAACACATTCGTAAAAGAACAGTTGAAAACGAAACATATTTTTGCCAGAAAAGCAAAAGAAATTTGAAGTGACTTTCAATAGAAAAGTTATACAAGAAAGTACTAAAATCTAAACATTCTGTTTTTTGATTATAACTACTCGGAATTGCAAGAAAATTTATAGTGAATAAAAACAAGCAGAAAATTTGAGGAAATTAGTGGAGGTAAATACCTAAAGTGAATATATGTATATGCATATGTACAAATAAACTACATGCTGTGCTTACGGGACGGAATAATTACACAACTTGTTAAATTGACAATAGTTTATGTTTAAAAAAGTTTTAATGGTTTAAATAACACATATGTTTGTCAGTTGCGATATTTTTTTCTTTTTTCTTGAAATCGATGAAATCACTTGACAAGTTTGGAAGTCCCCCGCCAACGCGTCTCGCAAGGTTTTTTTGTGCTACAGCATAAGTTAGAGCAGGACGGGGCTGTATAGAAAGTACCAGCAGTTGCAAAATTTGTCATTCATGCAAACGTCACCAAACGTCTGTTTTGTCGGGTGTTGATAAAAAAATTCTAGAAAGATCGGTGCTACGCTGCAAATATAGTAAAAAATGTTCACGATCTTTCTTTTCGTGCGTGCATACATAAATATAAGTACTTGTGAGACGTATTCGTAAACAGTAATACNAAATTCTAGAAAGATCGGTGCTACGCTGCAAATATAGTAAAAAATGTTCATGATCTTTCTTTTCGTGCGTGCATACATAAATATAAGTACTTGTGAGACGTATTCGTAAACAGTAATACAAAAAAAACATCTTATTTCTATACTATGTACACTAAAAAGCGCACAGCCATGAGAAATTACTATTTTGTAATTAGGTCACACGAAATCTTAATTGTTTTGTTTTATAATCAAAAGATCGTTTTTTTTTTTTTTGTATTGATGCATTTAGGAATGCACGCATATTAATGTGTACATATAAATCTTATGTTTTTTTTTGGCAATTGAAAGAGCTTACATTTTATTGAACATGTCCCGTTAAGCACGTTTTTGTCATGTTTTATTTATCTGGTTTTTTTTTATGTACTAAATTTTACTCAAATTGTACTTGTGGTTTTGTTTAATGATTTCATTTCAGCTCTACAAGAGAATTAAGTATATATCGATATGGGCAAAGATTTCTATAAAATCCTCGGTATTAACAAAAGTGCCAATGACGATGAAATTAAGAAGGCCTATCGTAAATTGGCGTTGAAGTACCATCCAGATAAGAACAAAACACCGCAGGCCGAGGAGCGATTTAAGGAGATTGCCGAGGCGTATGAAGTGTTGTCAGACAAGAAGAAACGGGACATCTACGATCAACATGGTGAAGAAGGCCTGAAGGGTGGTGTACCTGGTGGTCCCGGTGAGCAGGGTGGTGGTTTCAATTCATACCAGTTCCATGGAGATCCGCGCGCCACATTTGCTCAGTTCTTTGGTTCGTCAGATCCTTTTGGCATTTTCTTCAGTTCAAGCGATCCCAGCCGAATGTTTGGTGATTCGCAGAATATATTCATGACTGCTGGCAATGACGATGATATCTACTCACAAATGGGCGGCGGCGGTGCTTTCCGCTCGCAATCTTTCAACGCCCAACCCAACCGCAAAAGACAGATTCAAGATCCACCTATCGAACACGATCTTTACGTCTCTCTGGAGGAGGTCGATAAAGGCTGTGTAAAAAAGATGAAGATCTCGCGCATGTCGATGACAACAGGGCAGCCGCGCAAGGAAGAAAAAGTCTTGAATATAACTGTGAAACCCGGCTGGAAGGCGGGCACAAAGATTACCTTCCAAAAGGAAGGTGATCAAACCCCTGGAAAAGTTCCGGCAGATATAATTTTCATCATACGGGACAAGCCGCACCCATTATTCAAACGTGAAG